TTTGAGTTCAGTTGAATTCAAGAAAAAGTTTTTCTGTGAGCACGAGGTTTCTAACCACCTCTTGAACATGAAAATATCTTGCTTCGAATTAAACTTTTGTCCTAACTATGTTACATCTGTCCAGTTCCGAAACTATGATTGGAGAGTGCAGTGATCATGAAAGAACCGCCTGTAATTGGTTACTACAAACATAAGGATCGCGCACATTCATTACCTCATCGTGTCCCCCCTATTCTCGTTTTTACAAGTACTCTATATAATTAAGACATTGACTACCCATTGCACCTATCTTCTTTCATCATTAGTCGCTACTTCACTTACTATTTAGTATTGGTAGTGAGTATGCTATTCGCCGTGTTCTCCGTCTGTAAGGAGCCCTACCGCTATCTCTTCAGCCTGAGGCGGCTGTATAATTTCTTCAATCTTTTGACAAATGGCTAAGATCCAAGTTACAGCAGCTGTGCTATGCAATGTGGCCATGCAAGACCGGTCAGTCAGCCTTTAAAACGTTGTAATGATACATGATTAGTCAAAGACCCCGTTGAGCTCGACCCGCGCACATGTTTCCGTGGCGGATTTTTGTGATGTGTCGGCATAGAAGTTCACTATTGCTGCTTTCATACTTTGCGCCGGTGCGGAGAGGGTGAATAGCGTCAACAAACTGGCGCACGACGCGTACTTGGCGCGCTTCGGTGCATTTCCTCCATTTTTCGATGTTTTGTGAAGCCGTCTTGCGTTCTTTCATGTACCGAAATCAAGGTCATTGGTCGGAAGGCGCCGATTGCGCGCCAAGTACGCATCGTCCGCATGGACCGCACCGGCGCAAAGTATGAAAGCAGCCTATAGGGCCTTTTGATATAATGGAATGTGCGCTCCGACTCTAAGTTAAGAACATCCGGTTTGCCCTAGCAATGTGTGATTGAATCTAGTTGAACGTGAAGACAAAATATCCTCTTTCATACCCCCCCCCCGTATATCCCCTCGAGTCGTTTGTGTGTTAAGGGCTTTTCGGGGGCTCCTTACAATGGTTCGTACATGACAGAATGTATAGTGGAATACTGCGAGATAATAATGAGAGAATAATAATAATAGTCATGGTTTCGTTGCGGACCTCACCAAAATAAGTGGACGACCAGGGTCAAGCGTGCGTTGAGGAATCCTCGACATGTCACAGGGGGGGGGGGGTCGTATTGGCCCGCTGGGGGAAGAGATCGGGCCCGATTGATACAGTAGGATCATCGTCGGAGGACAAACATCAAGGATCGAGTCGATGCCAGGCCAGAGTATTTCCAATAACAATTGATTCCGCCCACACAAAATCTTCGTGATTTAGAGGTGTCCGCTTAGCAATTCTTAGTTACTTCAGTGTTTTATCACCACACAAGTTAAAGAATCCGAAATTCGCACGTTTTCCAAGAGATATTTTATCTTTCAAGTAAGTCCTCAAATCTGAAGGGATGTGAAGCACACGGCGCATCCCAGAGTGGGCCCAGTTGGTTGCGCGCGCTTGAGCGCGAGAGGAAGAGATGTTGTCATAGCATGCCATTTTTAGTGATTAGTTTGTCGTTTTTTGCTCCTTTTCTCGTTTGCTCGTTTGGTAGGACTCATCAATAATGATCATTCTTTGACTTTTTCACTTTTGTACTTCTTAAACGAATTTTTTGGTGGACGGTGGGGTAGCAGGGCTTTTTTATGAACAGTTTTGGGGGAGAATTAAACAACCTTTTCATAGTTCGGCTTTTGAAGAGGGTCGTTTCATGGACTTCGGCCTCTGGCGGAGGGAGGGGGGGGGGTCGTATTTCCAAATTTTCCTCGACGCCTCGCTTGACCCTGTGGACGACCTTTGCGGGCGTCCCTAGCTTATACCATCAAAATTGTATAGTGCCATTCCCGAATTATTTTTGCACTCACGTTTAGAGCCAGAAAACAGTGCTTGTCATCAGGGTTAGGAAGTATTTATAGTTCAATGATGATTCGTTCTAATGAAACAGAAAAGATGTGGAGGTGCCTGTACAACGGCGGTCCGCAATGTGTTCAAGAAAGGGTAGTGTGAGCCCTTGTCACTTTCTTCGGTGCTAACAATAAATGCTCGATTTCGTGTGTCTTCGTACCGAAATAGGGTGAAGCTCTTCGTGTTCTGCGTAAATTATCCTGTGACATTCTCGTCATATTTTAACCTAGTATTTCTCAATAGACCGCGAAGCAGCCACGCTGAAGGCGGTTATTTAACACATTCACGACGACGCCCCTTTTCCACTTTTCGGTCGCGTGGGACGGACGCGATTTTGTGGGCGCCGCCGCCTCACCACATAACCGCAGATTTTGTTTTGTAAATGAACAAAAACATGAATGTCACAAAATAATTTCTGCAATGTCCAATGCGTAAAGATTATCTAAACATATAACAGTAGGATTTGATCAGAACGACAAATAGTGGTTACGAAAGGAAACCTAACGCCTGGCAAGCGACTATCAGT